AGTATGGTTCTTTATCTAAACTCAAAAGCCTTGCTCGCTTCTTTCTTGAAGTTTTAATTTGAGGCATGTTCGCCGATTCTATTCACTCACACTGACAAAGTACATCATGACAAACGTCCCACGTTTGAATTTAAAAAAAACTGTTTATTACCAAACTTCGGGGGTAAATCGGAAAGCAGCCAAGCGAGATGAGACCTTGCATGGTGCGAAAGAATTTGGTGTTATGATCATTAGCAAACAACAGAATTCCCAGAGCATCAAATCGTTGAGAAACGATCAATGTTTTCTGTATTTCTCGTTCGCTTTAAATGAGTTCAATAGTCTTGCAATTTTGTGTAATATTAGTTTAAGTTCTAATTTGTATCCTGACGTAGTTTTGAGAGAAATGATCAGCGAATTTTAGAATAATGGAAGATCTAGTAGGATTGACTAGAACACTGCGATGAAAAGTGCGCATCAAATGTTTACCTCGTCCTCTGCACTATAAGTTTTCACAAAATCGCATAAGTCGATTACCTTCAAAATGTTCCTTTTAAAACTAGATACAGAGTAAAACTAAATGAGCAATAACTTTTGTGAATATGTAGCTCTGAAATATTAATTTCGGCCGTATGAAATCCATTGTTTAAATTTGAAGTAGATTATGCACTATATTTAAATAATCTCAAATTTCTCATAATTAGCTAGATAGACTTTTTCAAAAATCCCTACAAATGTAGGCATCTAGCATATAATTATATGGTACGAAGCATTTTAGTGTTGAACGCTCCTGCAAGGTTAAAATTATTTTCTAAACGAAATCAAATATTTCATCATAATCACGTGTTATGACGTCCGATCTCATAAAAAACTGCATCAAACATTAGTTCAATCTTTATGTGACTTATGTGCAAAAAAGATTTGAAATCGGATAAAAGACGCTTATGCACTAGCGTTCCAAAAGTGGAAGGTAGCGGTCAAGCGTGAGGGGGTCCAGCCACCTTAAATAAACCGACGAACAGTCCAGTGCAGCAAACAATCGCTATTTCAACGAAAAAACCCCAGCAAATATCAGGGGTAAAAGCCTTCAGAGAACCAATAGCATTCAATTCAACATTTCAATAGTTCCTTTGAGGTTTTGAAAGTTTCTTACCGTCTATAAATGAAGAATTTTCGTCTCTCCATAACCTTCATCACACGATTACAAAGATGTATGACGACCGAAGGGGCTGATGGGACATATATATTGCTCCAGGCTTGGTACTTCATGTATGGAGACACAAGAGGTCCAGTGTCTTTCCGTATAGTCTATGCTGATCTAAAACACGCATATTTCAGTCAAAACCGGTAATTGCCCATGGTCGACATGGGGAATAAATCTACCTACCGATCATTGGTCGTTTCTCACCATGACACAGGGAGACCAACAGACTAGTTAGTAGTATAGGGGTTGGGGGTCCCAACTCACGCACCACCCCGAAATAACCCGTCTTAAAAGCATACGCCCCGGTTTCATTCGAGTTTTGAGAGCAACGTGGCCCGGGGTTATTCCACCAAGAGATTACGGGATCTTCCCGCCATCCACGACCCACTTGAGACCGTGAATACGGCCACCAACGAATACCATTAAATATGCTAACATATATTATGAAGTGCGAAATTCAAAG